ATAATGGTCTGGCATGGAATATATTTAGTGGCATCAACAGATGATAACGTCACAAGTGATTGGCATTTTGTGCAGTTTATGCCTCAGACATAAGCCTGTCACAATAATCAATAAATTGACTTCTCGTGCAATACTTAGACATGACCTCAATAATTTTTGGAGTAGCAATAAATATTTACAAATTAACAAATATTCTTAAAGCAATTTTACTATTTGATTTAGTGTAAATATAATAGTAATAGTGTATATATAATAGGACATTTTATCATCAACCTTTTTAATGTACCGTTAACATACTCATACCTTTTTAACATCAAATTACAGAATCTAAATTACCTTAATGGAAAGTCTTTGTCTACATATTTTCAAGTGTAATTTTGTCCCATTTTTCCTGCAAACAAGTCCTAAGATTGGCAACAGTAGATTGTTTATTGACGCAATTTGAGCTTTAACATTCGCCACACATTCTCTATTGGAAACAGGTCGGGACTGTGGGCAGGCCAGTCAAGTACCTGTATTCGTACCAAATCATAATTCCAATCACCTGTTGACGTCACCTGTTTAAAAAAGCACATCCTTATTTAGCCAATTTACCTGATTACTGTCCCTAAATTGATCTAAATAACTTCAATAATGGAAAGTCTATGTCCCTTGAAAGTGTTTATGGCTATTTACATTACTATGCCATTTTATTATAATTATATAATCAGTGGCATGAAAGGATCTCAGTAATATTGCTTATCGCAGCAATTTCTGTGACAATATATTGCACGACAAAAATAATTTATTGTTACAGGTCTACTCAGATGTTCAACCAGCAGAAGTAACGTTCAAGGCAAAGTCTAGTCATTCAGACTAGTCACTATTCATAGTGACATTCAAGCCAAAGAACTAACAGTCAGAATTTTTGTAAAAGAGAGGAATCACAGAGACTGTATCCAAGATTTTCCTCATTTACTATAACCTACATCAGTAATTAAGGGCATGTTCCATTCTGAAGGAGTCATCCCTATGCCTTAATCCCTCCTTGGGAACGAGAGCTTCAAAGGGATGAATCGATAGGGGACCCAAAAAAGGCACTTTTGTCTCATCAGCCTCCCTATTTAAACACTCACAAAGAATCATGTGCTGGTCCAATACTTGTCTGCTAGTATATAGAATGAGTCAATGAAAACAAGTAAACAAATTTAGTGTCAAAAAGTGTGTAATTTAACTACACAAGGAATGGATGATACACTAATGACTGAGCTGCATTATGAGACTGAATGAGTGCACTCAATAGAGCCTCAGCATCTTAAATCCTCAAAAGTTTATTTTAAAAAAACTGTATGTACATTTATAAAACTATACCTTACATCAGTGTTTCTCAACCATGTTCCTGGAGGACCACCAACACTACATGTTATGGATGTCTCTTTTGTCTGTCACAACCATTACAGGTCTTTCAGTCTCTGCTAATGAGCTTATGATCTAGATCAGGTGTGTTTGGTTAAGGAGACATTTATTATGTGCAGAGCTGGTGGTCCTCTAGAACGTGGTTGAGAAACACTGCCTTATATGACCTTTGCATCAAACTTCTAAAACAATAGTTAGAAAATACACCATGAATCTTTTTTTTTCTTTTTTGAAAGTTTTGAAAACAGTCATGGAGTTGCTCTTTTGCTATTTGACCAAATGGGACTGGAAAAAAAATTATTTAGTACTCTCCCAACCACTGCACTACAAGTTTACTCAACTATGATGACACTTAAAAAACACATAACAATATGTAATGCTTCAAGGTGCTGTTAGAATTAAATTTTTTTTATAATATTAGGTATTAAAAATTCAAATAAAGCTAAGCAAACACCTCCATTTATCACTTTAAGTGTGTCCTTTTGAGTAAGCAACAGATCAATATGCACACTAGCAGTTATCGTGCCAACTTGGGCCAAATACAAGACTTATATCACAAGACAAGTAGGAGATTGTCAAGGCCACAAGTGCAGGTATTTGGACAGGTCCTATGTGTTTTTGGACCCCATTAAAAATGGATGGTACCTTAAAAAGAAAGTTTTTGGGGAAGAGAGGGGGTGGACTGATTTTAGACATAGGCAAGCATTGTTAACAGTACATTTGCATGGTCTGGTCAGCATGTGACTATCTGACTGCAAACAAACAACTATTGTTTTCTTGAACAATAAATTCAGTAGACCTCTAAAACATGAATGTCATTCCATATGCATCAAAGTAAAGGCACAAAACGATGCTAAATTTGTATAACCCTTCATTAAGACAGATCAGTGCACTGCTAATATGGCTAGTGAACTGCTTAGTTAATTAGCCATGACACAGGCGGATTCACAGTCTTTCCCAATATACCACAACTACATAATCAAGTGTACTGTAAAAGTGATATGACCAATATGTAACAACAGCATGCATTTTTGTTGCTTTATCTTATTAAAATAGCTTGCAAACTAGATTTGATTCAGCTTAAAAATCAAAACAGCCAGCTTGTGTTTACAATGTTCTTGTTCTCATAAAACACAAGTAGTATGCTGTGAATTGCTCCTGTTGAAAGAGGCAATATAAAAACAGAAAGCTGATAAAAGTCAAACAGTCCACTTACAAAGCAAGACACTCTGAAAATCTCATGCTGTTTGTAAGTTTGATAGTTGGTAAACACAGGGGTTCCCAAACTTTTCAGCCCGCGACCCCCAAAATGACAATGCCAGTGACTCGTGACCCCCAATATTCTCTGAGGTGGTGGTTATAAATACAGAAACCTTGTATGCAAGGACGCACACAAACACACCAATAGACCTAAGTCTATTCTTTGTTTTTTTTAAATGTATGTCAGTGCTGTAAATGGGCAAGAAAGTTTAACCTGGTGTTATAAAATCAATCTGCTGCATCTGACAGTATTGCTGTGTCTTTAGTATAATGTAATTACCAGAGAAGTCGCAATCCAATAGAACTATTAACTATAAGCTACTATAGTAACTATATAGTTTATAGTAACTATAAACGACTATTTTTTTTCCCTCTTCAGTAGGTTATTGATAAAATACAGTAAGTCTTAAGGTTTAATAAAAATTAATTGATTTTTGAAAATCACCAGACGACCCCCCTTCATTGTCCCGCGACCCCCACTTTGAGAACCTCTGGGTAAACAGATGGAAGCAGCAGCAGTTCAGACCATGATTTAGATTTCCATTTTAAAAGGGAAAGAGTAACATGTGTATCTTCAGAGGATTGGAACCAGCAGTAGAGAATTTAATCTAACTGGTCATCAGATAGATCTGATTCTCTTGTTCAAGATGGGATGTTATAATAGCTGTTGCCCAAGTATATAGACAACATGATCCTGTCACCTCCTTCCAAAAACCCAAAGAACTCCTGGATCATAAGCCTGTGTGCTCTGTGTTCAGAAAGACCACAGGTCTGAATTTTACCCATGATGTGATCATATTAGTAAAAATAAAAAAAATTCTGTTCAGATCTGCTCATTTTTAGCATTTTTTACTTACAAAGCACTGTGCAACCTCCAACAAAGTGCAATAACACCCATGGAAAGAATATAGGGATGCTAAGCAGCCAATGCGCAACTCTGAAGGTCACAAGCCTTGTATTTTTCAAGAAACTCACAAGGATTTCTAGGACCACTGAGAACCAGAACTTCAATTCAACATCTCATGTGAAGAATGGTGCCACCATCAATCTTAAGGGCAATTATAATTTACATAAAGTGCAGGATGAGCACCATCTGCTGGCCTCATCAATGCCAGCAACCCATGAAATAGCTGTCCCATTAACATCTCATCCAGGTACTGGTCGGACTCTTTTAGCTTCAACAGAAATCTAGATGAGAGGAAAGAGTAAAAAAGATCTAGCTAGAAGAGGATGGATACATGGATTCATGATTTAAACAGGTCAGGAAAACACAGGTTCAACTGATTTAAAAAAAAAGTGTGCACATTGCCCTACTTAATACATGAAGTGAAATAAAGTAAATGATTGTGTCTATAGACTTCCCACTTGTGTTTCATTCAGGCAACCACAGAACAAAAAAGTCAAACAATCAGATTGAGGACTGACCGACACTCAGAGGCTCTGTCACGTATAGACACTTCTGTGGCTTTATGTATACACATACAATTATCGACCTATTAAACACACCTAAAGCCTCCATATGGTAACCTACAATCTCAGTGATGAATATTTCAAATAATTCACAACTTGCTTCCGTTTGGTAACTTTCTAGAACGACAAATGAACAAGACACTAAAATGCTACGCCTGAATGTGAACGCAAAACAAAACTGAAGGGGCGACTGCGCACAACAAAGCGTCAGCAGTGAACTTTTTATTCCTCTCAACGAAATCCAGGGCATGACGTCACTGCCACCGGCTCATGATTCTCAAGTCATGTGTTACATAACTTGCAATATTTTCATAAGTGCTTTTATTCCCTTCAAACTTTCATTGTCATATTGGCAACGTTTCACCAAAGCACTCTGTATAACTAAAACCCATAGGAAACCGTAAAAACAGACTAGACATGACTTTGTTACCCTGCTGCTCCTCTTGACCTCGATTAAAAGCACACAGAGAGACGTCAACTCGGCCAGTCAATGAATATGTATATGCAGAGCCGCGCTCAGAATAATCTGCCATTCCATCTGACACAGATATCACAGTAGTAACTTCTTCATCTTCATTCTTGGAATAGCTCTGTCATTTCAAAAGTACAGAAACTGTCCTGCCTATATAAGAAACTAATCCATCACATCACTGAGAGAATAATAAAGGAATTTAACACAAGATAAAACTAATTCACACAGTTCTCTCTACTTAAAATCGATATAAACACCGCAACTTTAACTGTATGCTTGAAATGACCACAGCTGCATGTCAACCCGTTATGGGTGCTTGCACCGGGCGCCTTTAACACAATGACACACTTATCGCGTGCTCTAATTTCACAAACTAAACCAAGCAACAACCGGCTGAACTCACCTAATCAGAGGCAGCGATGAGAAACCGACTTCAACGGAAAAGTTGCTAGGAACCTCCAGCGACGAGAAGCACCGAGAGCGCTTATTTGCCTTCCTTGCCTTACACATGAAATAGAGTTACATAACCGGCACCGTTTCTGTGGGCAATGAGTGACTTCCAGAGCGCTTTTTTCATTCACTGATGTTCATTTTCCAACGCACACACCTCACACTTTACGTCATCAGCCGTCGTCATACCTTAAAAGGAGCGAAGGGGCGTGACCGGACCGGATTCGCCAGAGTCAGCGGAGGGGTGAGCGCGCGCCCTCCGCAGCGCGTGCTCGCCAAAGCGCCCTCCCGCCGGTCTCTTCGTTTCTCCGTTCTCCGACTGCTTGAACGGCGGCCAGAGAATGTCATCGGCGGAGAATTAAGGGGGCCGTGTCTCAGTGAGGCAAGCTCTTCGTGCGGAAACAGAGGGGGTTACATTTGGAGGGGATACCAGATTTAGCAGAATATTACAAATAGCTTACCACACATTAAAAACAATAATAATCAAGTTGCGTTCGAGATACCAAAATGACGTGGGAGTTCTGTAGGCAGTTATGTTATGTAAGGACTATGGTTTCATAAGGTGCATTTTGCCAGCTTATTAGTTTGTGGCTGTGAAATGCTTGAGCGGAATGACTTGAATGTTGCGTCACTCGTAACCCCCAACTGGACCAACGAGTTTATGCGCGCATTTATGAGCGCGAGTTGTGTGTGTGTTTGGGGTGCATGTTTTGTACGTGTATATAGGCTAATAGAACTTTGGGTTCACTGCCATAGAAGCCTTTGTTACTCTCTTGAGGTTTGAAAGTCTCTTAGCTGACTTCAGAAAAGAACAAAACTTGAACTGAGTAAACTGAGCTATCATCTTCTGTAGGATACAGCTGGATTGCAAAAATGATGCCAGTAAAATGAACAGTCAAAGCCCAGTTTTACATTTTTGTATCTATGGCACTTCAAACAATACATAGGCCTATTATCTTACAGCAACTTTACAAAAACTTTAACAGAAAAATAGCTGAATTAGTTCTGTAAAGCACAGCTATGGAGATAAATCAGATTCTGCTGTAAAGCAACTTTGATAGTCTACAGGGTCATTTGTAGTTTAAGTATAACTTCTGATCCAAACTCTTGTGGTGTCTAGGCTGGACTATAGATCATTTTGAGGGATGTAAGCAAAAACAAAGATCCCAACGTAGTTGCTGTTTTACATTTTTCATTTCTAGAGCTTCTGAGAATCCAAAAAGAGCCACATATTGTTAAATAATGTTATGACAGCTGTTATGACATTAAGTTGTGATTGAATTACCTCTTGTTACAGTTATGACATAGTTTGATGACAAGCAGGAAATATTCATGGGCCAATGACATTACTACATTGAAATGGTATATAGTGCTCCTCTAGCTGGACTCACATTTTGCACCCTTAAACCTCTTTAAATGGTCCATAAACTCTGCAGCTCTTCTGAGGCCTATGTATCAACGCTGCATAGTACGCACAAAAACTTTGCACATTAGAACGTGCGCTGGTGGGGCGATGTAGTGCTGTTGCTTCACAGCAAGAAGGTTGCTGGGTTGCTGGTTTGATCCTTGGCTCAGTTGACGTTTCTATGTGGAGTTTGCATGTTCTCCCTGCGTTCGCGTGGGTTTCCTCCGGGTGCTCTGGTTTTCCACACAGTCCAATGACATGTTGTACAGGTAAATTGGGTGGGCTAAACTGTCTGTAGTGTATTAGTGTGTGTGAATGAGTGTTTGTGGATGTTTCCCTGAGATGGGTTGCGGCTGGAAGGGCATTCGCTGTGTAAAAACATGCTGGATAAGTTGGCGGTTCATTCCGTTGTGGCGACCCCAGATTAATAAAGGGACTAAGCCGACAAGAAAAGAATGAATGAAAGAATGAATGTGCACTGGTCCCTGCCAAATTCATGTCTGGCATATGTGTATTTCTTGTGTGTGTTTGGAGGAGGCTCCAAGGTGGCAGGGTGCGCGATGGGTGGCTTCTTGGTGAGTGATGTATTTAAAAATATTATATCAGCTAAGTTTTTATTTGTATTTTATTTTATTAAGCGTAATTATTTAACTGCCTGTCAGGAGACCGCGGTTATCCATTAAAGACATGGCTGTTAACCCCCTCAACAACCCACAAACTGACCAAGAGTGCCGATGCAATGATGCCCATTCTTGCACTCGGTCAGAGCAGGCGATTGGGCAGCTGAAATGCCAGTGGCGCTGCCTTGATAAGAGCCGAGGGGTGCTGCTATACCACCCTAACAAAGTGTTCCTCTAATACATCTGTGTTTCCCACAGACAAGGATACTACTCCAGACAGTAAAGTGTCACCTACAATTGAGGAAACTCTCTCCTCAAAGGATATTAGTTCAGCTTCCCCTGTTCCCCCGCCTGTTCAGTCCACACTTTGACAGTGCGCCGCTGTTCTCCTCTTAACCTGCACCTTCACATCAGATCTTTTTTTTTTTTATTCGTATACAGGGCGATGTTCAGAACCCCCTCCTTTAACCGGGTCAGCTAAACTCTCCCACTCAATTATTATTTTTTTTAGTAATTCCGGAGGACAAACTTGCAAATAACAGTTTTTCTCCAGTCTACCACCGATAAGAGCACCTCCAATTCACATTCTGTGAAGTTTCTCTTCTTGTTTGCTTTTGCCATTGCTTTTTTGTTTGGTTTTGTCAAAGTGGAGTCATTACCATATTCATATGGAGTTTCACGTTAATTTGGATGTACAAAGAGAATATGCATGGGATTCCACGTACGCAGTATTTCATACATCCGATTTTTTTTACTGCGTATGCACATTTACTGTACAGCTTTGTCCGTACACAATGTTTTAGTATTAATTCAACACAAGTCTTTGTACATGAGGCCCCTGTTCTTCAACAAGCTCAAGAGTGCCCATCTCACATCTCTCTTTACCTTCCTGCACTGGTTACCAGATGAAACATGCATCAAGTTTAAGTCATTGATGCTGGCATACAGAACAGGTACTGCATCCTTTTACCTCCACCTGCTCCTAAAAGTCTACACCCCCCCTGGAGCCTGCAGTCTGTAATGCCGAGTTCAGACTGCGTGATTTTCAAAGTAGTCATATCACAGATGTTTTCACACTGCTTGACTATCACACAAGCAATATTGTCCAAACTACATCTCACAACCAAACACAAGTGAGAAGTGACATCGAAATAACAAGGTCATGTAATATATCTTTCATTATTAACTACGTTAATGGAAAAAGAAGGCTTAAGTGTGGTAGAAAATGTGCTTAATTCAACTTAGCTCACCTGGTTTTGTAGGGAATTAGCGATTTTTACTTGAAAAAAATTTGAGTAAAAAAATACTTTTTTACGACCTGGTTGTGATATTGCTTAGATGACACGTCAAACAGGCACGGGTGCTCCTGCCAAATTTCCACTAGTTTTTCCTCCATTTCCTGGGTCAAAATAAACTGAAAATGAGCGCTTTTAACTTCTCCCCCAACCTCGCACTGACCTCCAGATACCCACACTAGTGAATGCTGCTTACTCATTGGTTGTAGGTTATCTCTGATGTTATTTTCAATCAGAACACATTTACATGACACGATTTGAATCACAGACAGCTCCAGATATTTAGCATGCCCAATATCTCGCAGACATTGGCGACTCTTCTGCAATTCTCTCAGACCGCGTCTTTGATAGTTCATACTAACGAGCACTGATTTACCCATGATTTTATCCATTTGTCTATGACTTCTAAAAACCAGTCAGCGGGTCAAAATCAGGGCTAAAATCGTGCAGTCTGAACTCTGCATAAGTGAGCACTGCCTCATGGTAGCATTATAGAGAGGCTCAAAATCATTTTCCAGAACCTTTTCATGCACTGTTCCTCCCTGGTGGAACAATCTTCTAAATCCCATGCAGAGTGCTGATTCACTCATTTCTTCTATGATGAGTATTGGAATACTTTCAGAATACTTATCATTGAGCCTAGCAGCGACTTTTTAGCAGCCTGTCGCTCTGGTTGGCGAACTGCTGCAAACGCAGGTCTGTGAAGGTATATAGAGCACCAATACAACCAGCCTCTAAACAAGCTGAGAGAATCACGTGAGCTCTACTGGTGCTCCTATTAGCTGTCACTTAAGAAAGTTGCTTTTCATTTGCATAAAGTTAAAGGATTCTCAACTTTGTTGCGTCACTCGACACCGCCACTTGGTTGCCAATGGTGGCCGCCGCTCGCATAGACGGAGGGTCACTCGCTCTCCGTTGAAATGAACGGTCAGTTGTCGATATGCAAGTTGCTCGTAGTGTGAATGAGGCTTTTCCCTAGCATACTGTAACATAGGCTCAATTGCGGGTCAATTGGTGCTTTTGAAAACACTATTGGTTGGGTTTTGGGAAGGATGTTGGGTCAGTCAGTCGACAGTGATGCGAGAACAGCAGGTGTGAATGGCACTCGTGAGAGGAATCTGAGATCTCAAAAAGTGTATACAGCAGCCTCGAGTGGATTTGTGAAACCAAAAACTGCAAAAAAAGTAGCTCCTGGAACATATTTTGCGCTCTCCAGGAATGTATATAGATGTACGTGTTTAGAATGAGCATGGGTTGGTATTTGTCTAAGCAATTTCAGTGCCTCTGTGATATTACCACCTCCTGTGTGTATTGCCTCTTTATGATGAGTCATTTAATGTCTTCCTCATTTGTAAGCCACTTATTTGGACAAAAGCATCTGCTAAATGAGTAAATGTAGATGTACCGCTGTGAAGTGCAGTTCTAGAAGAGGCAGCGAGGTTACAGTTTAACTCAAGTCAGTTTATTCTTGATTGTGTTTAGTTCAATACAAGTGTCATTGTTGCAAGATATGATTCTGCTGCCAACCAGTTTTGCAGAATACAATACTGTCATCCTCCACTTTAATGGGATAGTTCAGCCAAAAATGAAAATTCTGCCATCATTTACTCATCCTCTAATGGTTTCAAACCTGTTTGAGTTTTTTTCTTCTGCTGAACACAAAGGAAGACACACTGAAGAATGCTGGAAAAGGCACCTATTGAAATCTTTAGTATTTTCCCCCTATGGATGTCAATGGCTGCTTATTTCTAGCATTCTCCAAAATATCTTGTTTGGTGTTCAAGAGAAGAAGGAAATTCATAACAGTTAAGAACCACACAAGTGTGAATAAATGGTGAGG